ACCTATGACAAGAGGCATGCTCAGAAAAACACAAGAGGTATTGCAATACAAAGTGACCAATTTGCTAAAGGTCGAAGAATTAGCGAGATTCTCTTGTAGCTTGTTCTTGAGTTTTCCTTCTTCTTCTACCCGGTTCCTCCGAGCTATTTTTTCAATCTCTCGGATTAAATTCTAACTGCTCTCGAATATATCTGTCCTCTTAAACACATAAATCAAAAGAGTAACTCAAGCAAATATTAACACAAACTAAAAACTAAATAATAATAATAATAATAATGATAGTAATAGTAATAGTAATAGTGATAATGATAATAATAGTAATAATGATAATGATAATAGTAATAATAATAATAATGATAATGATAATGATAATAATAATAATAATAATGATAATGATAATAATAATAATAATAATAATAATAATAATAATGATAATAATAATAATAATGATAATAATGATAATAATAATAATAATAATAATAATAATAATAATAATGATAATGATAATAATAATGATAATAATGATAATGATAATAATGATAATGATAATGATAATAATAATAATAATAATAATAATAATAATAATAATAATAATAATAATGATAATGATAATGATAATAATAACAATAATGATAATAATGATAATAATAATAATAATAATAATAATGATGATAATAATGATAATAATAATAATAATGATAATAATAATAATAATGCTAATAATGATAATAATAATAATGATAATAATAATGATAATAATGATAATAATAATAATAATGATAATAATGATAATAATAATAATGATAATAATAATAATAAAAACAGAAATAAAAATAAAATACTCAATAAGCTAAACAAAGAATTCTCAAAGAACAACTGTTCCCGACAGACAGCGCTAGAAATACTTGTTGAATTATTGGCAAGCGTACCAAAATTATCAATCGTAGTATAGTATTTCGATAAAATAAAAGTCGATCCCACAAGGAACAGTTTCAATGAAAATTCTCAATTATGCTTACTAAGTATATTAAACAGATTGGGTTTTGCAAATAAGAGTTTAGTTGAATTTAAATGACAAAGACCTGTAAATTGTTGAGAAAATATCAATTAAAGGTACTTAAGATTGACTTCCTTCCTTATCCCTCTTTTGTAATGGCTATGTCAATTAAGAACGTCAATTAACCTAACAATGTTGATGCCACCTACTCAAATCATTCATGTTGATTCCTCACACATGAAATTCATAAGAAAACCTAATAAATGTTGATTCCTCACACAATTAACAGATTTTCCAGCATTAGGGTTAGGGTGTTTAAGCAATTGATACATTCATTCCATTCCTGGCAATTAACGTAACAAATATTCTTACCGTGATCTAGGGTTCAAGATATATTTTCCAATCATACCTCAAACAATCAAGAATAAATCATTCCAAAGCATAAAGGATAAGAATAACAACATCAAAGCATAGATTAATATCTCAAAATATCACCATGATACAAAAGAGTTCAAAGGAAGTGCACTGAATCCTAAGAGAATGAAGTTAACCACTCATGTTGGCCATTACAATGCTCCAATTGATGAAGAAGTGACGAATTGATGAAGATTAGACAAAACCCTAACAGTAGTCGTCTCCTCTCCTCCAAGACTGCTTGCTTTTCTCAAAACACAACTTATCTTTTTATAAGAGAATTTGGGCCTCGCATCATTCATTCGCTTAAGCGCTCTTCTTTCTTTCAATTTTAATCCAATTATGCTGACAATTATGCTTCTTACTCTTATATCAAGGCATTCTCAAATTCATCCTATATTGGGAGAAAAATATATTAGAATTAACATAAGTTAAGTGGTTTTATAACAATTCAAGGCATAATTATATCAAATTTTTACCACTTAACAGCATCTGCCTTGGCAGGATATACAGATATCCCTTTTGCCGATATTACATGTCCTAAAAACTGCACCTGATCTAACCAAAACTCACATTTTGAGAGCTTGGCATACAACTGTGTCTCTCTTAACACAGCCAACACCGCTCTCAGATGTTCCTGGTGTTCTTCCCAAGTCCTAGAATAAATAAGAATGTCATCTATAAAAATAACAACAAACTTATCTAAATAAGGACGAAATATCATGTTTATGTAGTCCATGAACATTGTAGGTGCATTCGTTACTCCAAACGGCATGACCACATACTCATAATGGCCATATCTCGACCTGAACGCCGTCTTCTGTACATCCTCTTCTTTAACCAGTATTTGATGGTATCCAGATCTCAAATCAATCTTAGAAAAGACTAATACTCCTTGTAACTGGTCTAATAAATCATCAATCCTCGGCAATGGGTACTTGTTCTTGATAGTCACCTTGTTTAGTTGTCGGTAATCAATACACAATCTGGAGCTCCCATCTTTCTTCTATACTAGCAATACAGATGCGCCCCATGGAGATACACTCGGGCGAATGAACTTATTTTCCAGCAAATCCTCCACCTATTTCTTCAATTCAGCCAATTCTACTAGAGCCATCCGATATGGTGCCATACAGATTGGCCTGAACCTGGAATTAGATCAATCCTAAATTCAATCTCTCTCTAAGGTGGCAACCTTGGTATTTCATCTGGAAACACATCAGAAAATTCGCTCACAACCGGTACTTCTTCCAATATATTATCCTTCACTTCATTCATCTGAGTCAGGATCAGATAACACTGAGCTCCCTCTCGTAACTCTTTCTGAACCTATTGAGCTAATGTAATTGGCTCATCTCCTGATTCCGGATGCACCAACCTTTTCAGTCCACAATTAATCAAAATGTGATTGGTGGATAACCAATCCATCCCTAAGATATTTCTTGGGTATTGAGGTGGCACAGTCCAATGATGGTATTGTTATATCTCAGAGGAAGTATGCCATGTATATTTTGGAGGAAACTGAGTTGATGAATTCAAAGTCTGTTGATACGCCCATGGATCCCAATACTAAACTTCTACCAAATCAGGGGGAGCTTATACCTGATCCTGAGCAGTATAGAAGATTGGTTGGAATATTGAATTATCTTACAGTTACTCGTCCTGACATTTCCTTTGCAGTCAGTGTGGTAAGCCAATTTCTTAATTCCCCATGTGAAGATCATTGGAATGCAGTCATTCGTATCTTAAAGTATATTAAAGGGTCTCCTAGAAAAGGATTGTTATATGATTCTAATAACCATACAAGAGTTGTTTGCTACTCAGATGCTGATTGGGCAAGATCTCCTTCGGATAGAAGATCTACATCTGGATATTGTGTCTCCATTGGTGGTAACTTGATCTCATGGAAAAGTAAGAAACAAAGTGTTGTGGCAAGATCTAGTGCAGAAGCAGAATATAGAGCTATGGCCTCAGCTGCTTGTGAACTTGTTTGGCTCAAGCAATTGCTTAGAGAGTTACAATTTGGAGATGTCACTCAAATGTCACTTGTGTGTGACAATCAGGCTGCTCTTCATATTAGTTCTAATCCTGTCTTTCATGAGAGGACCAAACACATTGAGATTGACTGTCATTTCATTCGAGAAAAGATTATGTCTGGAGACATCAAGACTGAGTTTGTTAACTCAAGTGATCAGTTAGCAGATATTTTTACTAAATCTTTATGGGGTCCTAGAATGGATTATATTTGTAACAAGTTTGGCACATACGATTTGTATGCTCCAGCTTGAGGGGGAGTGTTAGATATTGTTTAGATATTATTTGATATTGTTAAAATATTGTTAACCACAATATCAAACAATATCTTCTGTTTATTCTGTTATTTTTAGTTACTCTTTTAGTTGTATCTCTCTACTATAAATAGACTACCCTATGTATGATTTATATACAAGGGCGATTAATCCCAAACTCTATTTCTTCTATATTCAACAGTTAGTATCATGTTGACTTGTAGTAGGATGACTAGGGTCAGGCATAGGAGGACTATTCATCTGAATATGTTGTAAAATAAGTTGCATCAGCTTCATCTGCTCATCTTGTTGGTGTTGATTGTTCCTCAACTTTTGTATCTCTTCTTGAAGTGTCTTCTCCTTATCATGTTTTGCCATCAATTCAGCATTTAACTTTTGAATAGTCTCACACATTTGTTGAATTTGATGAAGTACTAGAGGTTGGCTAATAAAAGATTGAGAACCTGATGTAGTAGTGAACTTTTTGCTCAGTGTACCAAGTCCATACACATTTCCTTTTTTATTTTTACCTCCAACAACTGAAAAATATATTTCATTGTCATCAATGGAGACAATAGGAGACTCTTGTGAAGATGAGCCTTCACGCAAGTTATGTTGATGGACTTCTTCTCTACGCTGCATATATTGCTCCTAAAAATGAAGTGAAATATAATTATTATTAAGAAAACATATACTGAATAATAAACTATAACTTATATGTTAAATATACGGTAAGATTACAGGTCTTTTCATTGACCCATTGTCCAGTCTTTAATAATCCATTACTCATCCATTACTCATCTCATCATAACCCGATTAAATTTCCATACAATCCAAACAGCCAATAATAGCACAAACTAATCTAGTAATATAGTCTAATACAACCAACCCGATCCAGTATAATCAACTAGTAAAACAAGATTGAGATACACAGTAAAATAAATGTTCCAACCCAACCCAGTTAAATAAAACCTGCTAGAGTCAAATTTGCTTCGTCAACGACAACAAGCAAGAATTCCAAGACTCAAACGAAGCATTTAGGTTCCAACAACCAATCCAAATTAGATTCAATCAAGACCAGACATTAAACCCACACATCCAGGGAAACATAAAGATATCCAAATAATTCCACCCACAGTTAGCTTCAACCATGAGCTATCTAAATCAAGCTAACAGATCTAGTCCAAAAATCAAACATATAAAAGAAAAAAAACATGAGAACAAATAAGTATCCTCCTTGTTCAACAAGGGAAATCCAGATATGGAAAATAAAGGGAAAACTAAACAATTATGAACCAAACTCCAGGATTGACGAGTTTGATCCGTGACCACCTAGACTCAAACTCTGGGTTGCTTAGCAATAACCTATAACCCATCGAACAACCCCACTCAGCTGGAACTGATTTCACCCACCGAACCAGGCGAAACAAAAACAACAGATTTACTAAAAAATATACCTAACCCAAAAATAATAAATCAGTTACACTCAACCTAGCAAGATCCAGAATACTCAATCCAACAAAATCCAGACAGCCACCATATAACCCACATCAGAACCAGGAAATCTTGAACTAGGTAGCGAACAAATCCAAAATTTGGTTTAAACTTAAGCAAAATGAACTGGCGACAGACAAAACAACTTTGTCCAAACATGGGTGTGTAACCACAACGCAACCAAACCCATGTTAGACAAATGACATCTAAAGGGGGGGGGGTGAATAGATGCACAAATTAAAATAGATGCCAAATTTAAAATTTATTTTAAGATATCCAATATTTATTAATTTAATTTTAATTATCAAATTGAACAAAGATAAAGCGGAAGCAATATAATCAGAGAGATAAAATATCAACAAATTAGAGAAAGATAGAGATAAAAATAAGGGGTGTAAGGAGAATAATGCACTGAAAAAGAGATAAGGGAAAGAGAAGAGCACACAGTAATTTATACTGGTTCGGGTATAGTCAACCATACATCCAGTTCCCAGTCAACTCTTAACACAAGAGTGACCCCCATTCACTATCTTTTAAATTCAGTTTACAAATTACAATCAACTTAGCAAAAAACAAACTAATTCAAAAGACAATCACCTCCTTAGAAACCCACTAAGGATGAACACCTCCCTATAATCCCACTAGGGATGAACACCTCCTCTAAACAAATCAAAGGATAAAAACACCTCCTTAGAATCTCACCAGGGATGAACACCTCCCTAGAATCCCACTAGGGATGAACACCTCCTCTGAACAAATTAAAGGATGAAAACAACTCCCTCAACAAATCAAAGGGATGAACAGTTTCCACACAGGAAACAAAAAAAACACAATAGAATGACAGTGACTACTTAAACCCTAAACAAGAAATTTAACAATCAACCACTTAAGCCCACAAAGGATGAAGGTAATAAAATAAGAACAGTCACACCTGGATAATGGAGACAACAAATTATAGAAGCCTGTAGAATGCCAACCTCCAAGAACAAGTTGAAGCACTTCTTGGATTTGATGAAGACATATAAAGTTCATTTTGTGGGTGTGTAGGTAGATAGGTTATTGGTATGGAATTTAATCTCTTCATAATTATATTATATCTTGTGATAAGCGCCTATATTTGTTGCATTTCATAGAATTTATCATATTTCATGAAAAACCAACCTTTAAGTTTTGAAAGAACAAACTGAGTTTTTTTAATCTGTTAAAAAGTAGTTTTAATCTGTTAAAATCACTTAAAATAGGAAATGTATATATACAACCAATGTTTTAATTGATTAAACCGTAAAATCAACAGATTAAAATGTTCTTGATGGTTTTTCTATGTTAAGGGTTTCGCAGTTTTAATCTGTTAAATTGATAAATCAATAAATTAAAATGTTCTAAATCATAATGCGTATTTTAAGTACCTCAAATTTTTAATCTGTTAAAATGAATTTTAATCTGTTAAAACAGAGAGCTACCATTTTTTCATTTTAAGTATCTCATTTTTTTAATCTGTTAAAATGAATTTTAATCTGTTAAAACAGAGAGCTACCATTTTTTCTTCTAGCAGTTTTAATCCATTAAAAGCTCAAATTAACCAATTGAAAGAGTTTTAAATGAAATCAATCGATTAAAACATCATTTTAATCAATTGAAACTGTCAGTTTTTCTCTTTTACTCTATAAATACAGTTTTGATTTCTCTTTCATATACACAATTTGGAAGTCGATTAAAAGCAATCTTGGAGCTCTCATATTCGTGTGTTTTTCTGAACATTCATATCATAAAGCGCTTTGATCAAGATTGTTGAAAGATCTTTAAGAGAGAAAGTTTTGTGTTAGAAAATTTGCTTCTGGACTTCTATATTGCAAAAGCTACTGTCCAGGTTTATTCTTTCCAATACTTGTACGAATTTTAATTATGTAGATTGGGTTTGAATATGCACTGGTTACAGTGACTGGGTTTGGTTGCTGGGTGGTTTTTCAAGAGTCTATCTTGTGGTGTTGTAAGGTAGATCTTGGGGTAGATTGGTTTGTATCTACTGGTTTGTATTTTCACTTGGTATTAGTGGAACTTGACAAATTTGTCAAGAACTGGATGTAGCTCTTGGGAAGAGTGAACCAGTATAAAACTCTTGTGTTGTATTTCTGCATTTATTTCTTTTCATTTCTAGTTTATATTCTTGCTTTGTTAAAAACCAAATTTGCCTAATAAAAGATTGGATAAAGATTAATCATTCTTCCACAAAGAAAGCGGTTTTTGAAAAAGGTTTCAAAGTTCAATTCACCCCCCCCCTCTTGAACTCAAACATTTATTCTTACAATTGGTATCAGAGCTGGTTCTTGTAAGTTACTCAAGAATTCAGTCCAAGAAAGTTTAAATGGTTGAGGGAAAGATGAATTTTTCTGAAGGAGCCTCCATCAATAGGCCTCCTCTATTTTCTGGTGTGAATTATTCCTTCGGAAGG